AGCTTACGCTACAAGTACCGTTGCATCAGTTGGTGGACCTCCCCACTAGGTACATGGGTGTCCAGCTCCCCTCTATTTTGTATCTAGTGTTTGCCAAGTCACTAGATTTCGTAGGTGGCATCATTTACAGATCTCCCTTAGGTGCTAGTGATCATGTTTGTTTATCGTTCAGGTGTAGTCTGACCAGGCGTCACCACAGCATTGCTAAGCCATTTCCAAACATATGGCGTGCTAACTACCAGGCAATGCGTATCAAGGCTGCTGGGATGCGTTGTGAAATCTCGGTGGTTGATAAGATTCAGGCGACCTGGGATAAATTTAAATCTTATCTCAGGGAAGTGTCTTCTCCCTACATCCCGCTTGCGAGGAGAAAGGAGACACGAGCGCGGCCGCCGTGGATAGCTACCACTGGCAAGTACTTGCTCCAGAAGCGTTCTAGGTGCTGGAGAACCTACCGTGCGGCTCCACCAATTAGCACCTATGATAGATACCGCGAGGCTAGAAATAGGTGTAAACAACACGCAAGGAAAGCTCGGCTGGTGTACGAAAAGGAATTGGCTGATGGAGCTTCGGAAAATCCGAAGAAGTTCCTCGCTTATGTTAAGATGCGCTGTGGTTCAACTTCGGTGATCCCAACTTTGCTGCTGGCCAATAGAACTCATGCGTATGCGGACTCAGATAAGGCTCGTGTACTTGGGGAACAGTAAGCAGGGGCTTTTGTATGTGAGGTCGCGTTGACTAGCCTTGAACTTGTCCGCAGAGTACCTGAGGGTTTTTATTTAGCTGAGTTTACTGTGGTGGAAACCCGAGTCCTTAAACTGCTGCAAGAACTGAACCCTTCCAAAGCAGCTGGACCTGATACAATTCACCCGAAACTTCTGCATGAGTTGGCGGGGGAACCAAGTGGACCGCTGACGATGGTGTTTCAGAAATCACTTGACAGCTGTACATTACCTTCCGAATGGAAAGAAGCTGTCATCTGTCCTATCTTCAAAAATGGCGACAGGAGTCTGTCAGCCAGTTATAGGCCAGATAGTCTGACTAGCGTCGTGGTCAAACTGCTTGAAAAGCTGGTGAGAGATCCGTTGGAACGTCACCTGAATTGATTTAATCTACTCAGTAGTGCACAACATGGATTCCGGAAGGGGTTTCCGTGTATGACGAATTTGTTGATTGCTCGTGAAGCTTGGGCCGAGGCAATGAACAATGGTCACGTAGTGGATGTACTTTTCGTAGACTACTCGAAAGCATTCGATAAGGTACCCCACTTGAGATTATCACAAAAGCTGAGCTCCTACCGCCCATCTGGCCGCGCCCTTCACTGGGTATCTGCGTTCTTGCAGGGAAGAGAGCAGTGTGTACGTGTGGGTTGCAGCTTATCCTTTAAGCAAGCGGTCCTTAGCAGTGTCCCACAGGGCTCGGTCCTTGGACCGATGATGTTCTCCATCTACGTAAACGATCTCCCTGGAGAGCTTGGGGTATCATCCTTATTGTTTGCTGATGACCTTAAGCTATGGAATGTTGTAAATGTTCCTGGGGGTTCTGAGACCATACAGCATGCACTGCACAGACTCTGGGACTGGTCTACTTTGTGGCTACTACCCATAAATCAGGCTAATTGTTCCGTTCTTCGTATAGGAGCAACTTTCCCGCCTTTGAGCTACGTACTCGGTGGGTTAGAACTCCCCCTTTTCTCCAACCAGGTAGACTTAGGTGTCGTTCATTCCTTGTCTTTGCATTCTGGTGACAACTGGAAGAAGGTCACTAGTAGGGGTTTCACAATGTTGTGGTTAATACGCCGTTCTTTCGAGGTCTTAACTGCCGACATATTTGTGAAGCTATTCTCAGCTTTCCTTCGGCCCCATCTGGAATACTGCGTCCAGGCTTGCCCGCCCTGCCTTGTTCGGAATAAAATGGAGCTCGAGAGGGTTTTGAGAGTAGGTACCAAATTGGTCGAGGGGTTACGGGGGCAATCGTACCCCGAGCGTCTACTTAACTTGGGTATGTATTCAATGCACTACCGACGGCTTCGAGGAGACCTAATCCTTACTTACCGCATTTTAACAGGGAATGTTGGACCGGACTTGCGCTGGCTATTTAGCCCGGCTAGGTTGCCATGTCTTCGCGGTCATCCCATGAAGCTACACAAGCCGCGTTCTGACGGGATCAGGGCGGAAACTCGGTTATCGCGTAGAGTTATCGAGCGCTGGAACTCGCTTCCAGAAAATGTAGTCAGTGAACCTACGGTTAAGGGTTTCGAGCGTCAGTTAGACGCTCTTGGGTGGCAACACGAAACCTTTCCCTTCTCCTGACCATATCCAACTTCAAAATTTTAGTTCTCATTCTGTCATTCTTTTCACTCTTTGGTGTTAGCCTTCATTTTAATGACTTTCATTCCCCTTTATCCTCCATTTCCTTTCTACTTCTTTCTAACTTCACGTAACCTGCACAGCGGGGAATGCTAGTGTAGGGAACGTGGGCAGTAATTGGTTGATCCGGGTGTGTTTCGGGTGTTTCGTTTTAGATCTATCAAGAACTAGCACCTTATCATTTCCTGCCTCAACGATTTGCTCAAGAAGGAACACTCAAGGGATTTTCCTATCGTTCCAGTCCATCTGAATCTGAAATCTGAAATATGACTGTGACAATTTGTCGTCTTTCATAGATGCCACCACTTTGAACTCACTGCACTCCACTACGCGTTTCGTACTTGTTTAATCTCATCAGGTCGAGATAGCAGGCATGGCACCCTGGGTCATGGTCGTGCTATCAGAAGCCTCTATTTCTAATCCACCTACTCACGATAGGCAACGCTTGTCACAAAGATGAATGACTGAATCCTTGGTCATTCCGAAGCACTCATTGTGTGAATAGATTGCGACGCGCACGCTCAGGGTTTTGGCTAACACCTTAAAAGCCCAGATTTCGGTGTCTACTGTCTGCCTGCTGAGGTCAAACAAGCTGGTATCTAATACTGGAATGCATTGGTTTCCACGTGGGTAACGCCCAATATTCCTGTGCTACATGATTTACGGTCCTAGAGATCAAATTGACCGTGATTCGTTTGTTACCTTGCTTTTAGGGCACTATAGAAGAATCCCTAACGCCCTATCCTGTGTTAACTTTGCCCCGCCCAATGACCCCCTGGTTATTAATCCCTCTAAATTCGCCCAATTCTTTCCCTGTCCAAAACCCGTCTTTGGTTTCTTTGGCTCTCAATGCAAATATTGTGTTCCTATGTTATCTGCGTGTTCATTTTGCATTTAGAGACTGTGGCTGACCTACATTCAATCGCACAAATTTGACCTAGTTTTTTAACTTTAGAACAAACTCCATTAGCGCTCCGCATAGTAACGCCCGATGTGTTATTTGTGCACTAGAACCCATGGGACAAAATCACATATCCAGTCGCAATAGCCAAACAACTCAATATGGCTATTTATACATGGTTGGCGGTATCCGGTTTCGGATTTGCCTGTCACTGTGGCCAGCCACAGGACGCCTGCGACTAAAGAGGGACCATGAGTGGCTTGCGCAACACCATCCACACACCCCATATCCAGTGTAAACCCGAAGGAATAAGACCTGGAGGCATGTGGATGGGATCCACGTTACATCAATGGAGCCGGCGTACACTCCTTCACAGGCGAACACAAGCACCTTGTCTTTGGAGAATTAAGCGCGCACAAGGCGGTGACCGGACCGTAGTCCGCTCCACACTGAGTGCATGGAACCGATCTTCGAACCTAGCACGGCCACAAGGATCGTGCACCCCGTCCCCTCTAGCAACGACCAGCTGCGCTTGATGTGCATGTTGACAAGGTGCCTACCTGTTTATTACCCACTACCTCGTCCATACTGGCTATTTACACACACCCACATTTATACAAACAAATAAATTCAATACGTTACTGGTTAACTTGTAACTTGTTTATTCAATTATCGATCATACGTGTTTCCATTACGATGATTATGCCTTTTCTGGTATGCCACGCACTAACGAGAATAAACGATATATTTATTTAGTTATTTAGTTCACTATCCATGCCTTTTGTTGTAAGTACATCGCATTGCATGACTGACCTGACAATAGTGCACTGTTGATGTGGGTGTAGGCCACACAATGCAACCGTTTGGTTAGTGTGTTCTATTGGTTTGTTCCCGCTTATGTAGATTTAAAGCACAATGCACGGATTCACAAGCACCCTCAGCACAGGATAGACTCATTTTCTGATTGGTCTCGTATATGCCTTTTTTAAGCCACAGTGTATTGTGATACCGGTACATTTCCACGTGTGCTTGAAGCTGTATTTGTTGGCTATTTTTGCTTGTTACCGTGGATAATACGGATGTGTAGGAAACACAGGTTATTGTATACGGTATACAAGTTCCGGCTTTGTTGTTGTTGTTGTTGTTGTTGTTGTTGTTGTTGTTGTTAAGTCCGGTGGAAACTAGCTGGATCAACTCTTCCAAGCGATTTGTTGCTTACATTACTCCATATGAGCTTCCATGCTTCGGAGGGAACAATTGAGTGCCGTGCACAACATTAGCTATCAATAAAACTTAAGAGTTGCAGGCAACTTGTGCCAACTTAGACTGTAGACATTACTTGTTAGATAAAGAGTGGTTAACCGCTCAGTTTAACTGAAAAGCGTTTATCATCATGTAGTCAGTGGTCAGGAAAATTAGACTGTTTGCTTGCTGCACTAGTAGAACAAAGAGTCTCCAGGTTTCTGTCTTTTACTGATGAGAATTTATTCAACTTTTGCTTACTGAACTTATTGATGAGAGAGAACTGGAGATTTATCGGCTTCCTGCATGCAATACAATTTTTAAGCACAGAATTCCACTAAGCAAGAAATAAGCACAACACATGGCATGAGCATTGTCTCCACACTGCGATAGTTGTAGCAATTCGAAACAACACATGACTGGGTACTCTGAAGGGAATTGAATTAGTGATGGTGAGACAGCTGAGCATGTGGAAAAAGAAAACTTACGTGACTCAGCCGAGCATTCAGGTCGATTTTGTGCATCTCCACGCATCGTTTCAACTCGTTTAACGAGTTATTCACCAATGCATCATAGAACGCCAAACCAGGAATACTACTGCAGTTGGTTGCCATGGGGATGCTGTGAGAAGAAACAAGATATGGGTCAGTGCTGACATGAGACGGGAGTGCGTACTCAGCATGCATTTTGGTAATGTAATGTTTAATAGCTAATGTATAAGTGTGAAAAATGCAAGTGCAGAGATAGGTGATGAAAACGTTCCTAGGTCTAAATATCACACCTAGAGGAGTCTGAAAATTGAGATTAGACCTCTAGTGTCCGCGTTACATTTCGTTGGTAAGGCGTGAGGCGTGTGCTTGTTAGGAACCGTTTACCTCAGCTGCAATAAATGAAATGCTCGCCGTACATTAAGGCAGTAAATCAGAGGAACAGGTACCTAATGGTGGTCAGGTCAGAAGGCCAATTTATTCCACAAACGAGTGTGGCTATGATATGGTAAACACGAGTCACACGATTAGAGGATGGCTGACAAATACGCATAAAAGAGAACTAGTCCGCAGTGAACGATGAAAGTTATTTATCACGGGTTAAAAATCATGTACTTGACAAGGCCCGTAGAATGGTTGGAGTGAAAATTAAGAGAATTAGCTTATAACCAAAACGTCATTTTAGCGTCTACCGATATAACTGCACTGCTGCGTAACGACAGTTTGAAATGGGAATGGAATGTGCTCACACATGATAGTATGGAGAGTAGTTATAGCTAACTTACCACGTGTGAGATCGGAAAAGCGGAAATAACAGTGCTTACTCCTGTGCAGCTTCCGTTGACGGATGTGATTCCTTAATCCAGTTAAAGTACATACAAGTTATTCCCAAGGACACTTATGCAGGTATCCTCACCGCCATGTTGCGGATACGGCTGCTAAGAAGATAGTATGATTCGTGTTATTTCGTACTCCGAGTGAAACAGGCTAAATCAAGTAATGCAATTTGGAAAGTGTGTCATCAAGGCTTTTTTTGAAAAGCTTTATGGTAGGGGCACTAACGACGTGATTTGGAAGAGCGTTCCAGGTTCTGGTCACCCAGAATGAGAAAGCCGATTGTCGACAAGCAAGTCGACTGTAGTGCGTGCCAGTTTCACCTTGTAGCCTCACAGTTTGGCGGTTTCGTTTAGCTGCAACAGCTTGCGATATGGGTGAATGAGGTCGGTCAGTATTAAGTAAACCATGATGAGGTCTCCTTGCTGACGTCGATATTAACCACTGTACAATTTCAAGGCCCACAGTCTGCGCAGGTAGGGGAAGTGAAACAATCCTTCGGCGAGTATGGTCCCCCTACGTTTGGCATCTTCAGGTGCGTCGACATCGTGCTTGCGCCAGGGACGCCGAGTCTGGATTGCGTATTCCACATGAAACCTCAGGTAGGCCTTCAGAATGTGCGGAAAAATTAATGGCTCGAAATTTCCGAACTTCTCCATAAGAGTCCAAGATATAGACTGGCCCTTTTCAATGCCTTTACATTCTGTCTCGAGCAACTAGGATCATCCTGTAGGATCGCTCGGAAGCACTTTGCAACTATTGGTCTTCTAGCGGATATTCATTAGTTAGCTGAGGGATTATGCACACAACTTCGCATTTCGCCATGTTAAAATGGAAACGGTTTTCGGATGATCACGTATAGGACCTGTTGAGCGCACTCTGCAATGCCATGTGATGGTCCACTCTCTGGATGTCAGACCAGATTTTAATTTTATCTGCTGGTAGCAAGAGGTTGGACTACAGCACATTAGCCAGGTCGTTAATAAATACTAGGATTAAATGTGATCTCAGCAACGATCCCTGGGACACGCCACACTGGACGATAATTGGGTCAGAAATCGAGCTGCATACTCTCAGATCCAGCTGACGTTAAATGTGGAAATTGCTTATCTAACCCAGCTAACGGTCACCGATACCATAGCTTTGAAGTTTGTGAAGGAAAATGTAACGGTCTAGCCGATGGAACGCTTTGGAGAAGTCCATGTAGGTGACGTCGAGTTATATTCTGGCATCGACTAATTCTGTCCAAGTTACTCGGGCTAGAAGCAGAGTTGTAGTGCAGGGTCGACGTCGGCGGAGTCCGTGCTGCTGTGACACCATAATGTTTGTATCAAGGTATACCATGAATGCCTTCGCGATTATACCTTCCATTAAATTGGATAGCAGTGGGAGGAGAGTGACTGGACGGTAGTTAAACTGATCCTCAAGATTCCCACTGTTGTAAATAGGAGTGAATATTACGTTTTCACATTGTGGGCACATGCGTTTCATCCAGAGAGCATCGGAAGTACCGTGCTAATAGTGCGGCAATGCTCATGGCGGCTACATTCAGTGCCTTCGGTCTGAGGTCGTTCACGATGGGACAGCTGTACGTGCGCAGGTATAATAGTCCTTTCGTCAAATTGGCTGCCATGATCGACATGTACTTCAAGCTTGGTGGTGATGGGAGCTCTGTCAATGACGTCTGAGATGATGATTCACTCTGGAAAGTGTGGATGAAATGTTGACGGTGTGTTTACCATCGCTTGGGTAGTTTGTACCGGACCATTTGTTGCACGTAAAACTAGAATCCCGAGCTGCACCCTCCGGAGCTTGTTGAATTATTTATACAGCAAGTTGGTAATCGTACTCGGTTGAGCCGCTAACTACTGTTGATACCGTACTATGCTTTCCCGGATCAACTTGATGCATTGTTGTCGTTGAGTTGTGTAAGCCGCTCTGTTCTGAATATTCGGACAGGCTACATAAGCGCGCCGGGCGGAATCAGTTAAGGCCATTCAGTTTCTGGTGCTGTTCTTCAGGATTGATTTCATTTGATTGGGGCGAAATACCTTGTTTTCCGACGTATTCGCCACTAGTCCAGTGGATTTGGTAACAACCACCATCCAGGCGACATCGGGCAGCTGCTCGACCAGGAAAGACCTGCCGGTTTCTCGAACGGGGTCGCACAAGATATCGTACTGCTTGAGGACGTAGGTTTTGTCGTCTGTCTCACCGATGTACTCCGCGTAGCAGGTATAACGAAAGAGCAACATCGTGTGATCGCTACAGGCAAATGGTGCATTTATGCTTACGGAAGCGATCATAAGTTCTTCGTTGGTGAGCATAAGCTTCAAAACAGATGGCGCGTCACTTATTCTGATTCGCGTAGGACTAGTGGTACAGTGGGGGGAGAGGGGTGTATGTAGGGGGGGGGTATATATATATGATTGGGGGGGGGGGGGGGGGGGGGGGGGGGGGGGGGGGGGGGGGGGGGGGGGGGGGGGGGGGGGGGGGGGGGGGGGGGGGGGGGGGGGGGGGGGGGGGGGGGGGGGGGGGGGGGGGGGGGGGGGGGGGGGGGGGGGGGGGGGGGAATGGAGGTAGTAGGTTAAGGATGATAAGGGTTGGGGGAGGGGGGTATGGAGGGGGAAGTGTGGGGAGTTGGGGTTTGGAATATAAGATTTAGTGGGGGAGGGAATAATGTATGAGAGTTGGATTTGGTGATGGGTAATGGGATGTGGTGTGGGTGTAGGGTGTTGTGGAGTAGTTTATAGATGAAAATAGAAAGGTGGGGAGGTAGTATATTTTTGGTGAGTATTAGATGGGAGGTGTGGAGGGTGGGAATTATGATTGGATTTAGATGTTGTATTTATTAGGATAAGAAGGGAGAGGAGGGTGGTGATGGGGGTGTTAGATGAAGGGGTTGATTGAGATGATGAGTATGAGAAGGGGAATGAATTTGTGAGGGGAATGTTATTTGAATTGGATGGTGTAAGGTAAAATACCAAGGTTGGTTAGCTTGCTTGAAAGACTACTGTCTATTGTTGTGTATCGTTGTGTTGGTGTTGTGTATGGTTATGCAAGCTGGTGAGGGCATCTGCGGTTAGAAGCGTGTTAGTGAATGCTGATTTCCGCCGACGTGCCATGCCAACCTTTGTGCCGTCGGATGCCTTTCGTTTTTGTCGGACCGCCGACGCAGACCCTAGGGACATACCAGGTTGTAGTGTTGAGTACTCAGCGCCAGTAAGAGGGGGACCATCCTGTCCTCATTCAGCTGCCGGCGTGTTTTGACCCAGTCCCTGTTCTGAAATGCATGGTGTCGGGGTTGTACAGGTGAACTACTTGCTCAGTGTTACCTTGTCTCTTTGTGGCTAGGTGTCTATCGCCTTTATACATATTTCGGATGGCAGCATTTTACACACTTTATGCTACGTTTCGACGGCACTGTCTACCACAGCTTGGATAGCAATGTTACGATCATTACTCTGGGACCACGCACTTTGTAGGTAGGTAATAGCGGTAAGCTTGATGTCGAATTAGTGACAACGTTTTCGCGTGAGAGCACTTCATGCTTAAAACGCCATTCATCCCAGTCATGGACTCTGGACTCTAGCTCGCTTGGAGTCAGAAGTTCGGGGACACCGTGGACAAGGATTGATCTTGCCTTTTGTTTACGGAAGTCAACCGGACTATGTTTGCTTTCCTGATGTTCGCTCCATGGAACATCTGGGAAAATTCGAACAATGCATGAGGGGGTAAGGAGGCGAGTGGTTGACAAGAGAAAAGCTTTTGCATCATTGCCTGACAGAATTGTTACCTGGAGTGACCGCGGTCTACCTTAGGACGCGGAGATTGGGTGATTGACGAGACCTACCAAACTGGCTGGCTTGGCTTGAACCCCTGCTAGTTAACACAGGGAGTCCCACAGGTTCTTGTTGTCTAGTAGCTTATCTTTTATGGAGTTCGCCCTGGATTCACTTACATTGGAGCATATATCACCCAGCGGATTATGATTTTCTCCTGTGTTTTCCTTTTTGATGGGATGTGTGGATATTTTCTTTGGTTCTACAACTGACGGGGTCTTGAGTCTCGTAGCGGTATTCGTAGCATTAACTGGACCTAGTTTGGCAGCGGGCGGCCTACGATGGGAAGGGTCTCTGTCAAGTGGGTAGCAACAACGGACGCGTGGGTTGTCGATCCTCCAACAGTGATTCACAGCATCTACAGGTAAACGTTAACTGTGCATTTTTAATATTTGCCCAACTGATGTATAAGCAAAAGGTTTGAAATTATGGCTCAGTCTTTCTCGATCCGCTAAGA